CTATTTAGTAGCTCCAGCCCTTCCCTCCCTGGGAGTCCAGGCGCTTCAGTGAACGTTGCACAAGACTTTGGCAGGGCTGCTCGAAAGACAGAGTTTGCAGGGGCCGATCTAGCGCCCGGGCTGACTACAAGACAAATATTCATTCTTGGCTGTATTTGAGATTCTTAGCTGCAATGGACAGCAAACATAGAATTGACCCCAGGCGCTTCTCTCCTCTTAACAGGCAGCCAAACTAAGTGCCTGAAGGACCCCATCCCGTCACTAATTCATATTACTGGTCCATGGGATTTAAAATTATGAATTTAGTGGTTCCTGAGTTTTGAAAGTTTGGTTTCTTATTTTGCTCTTGGAACTCTTTTCCAAAAAACCCCCCAAAGAGCTTTTGTTTGTGTGGGTTATATGTATCGATGTTTACCAGATTAAAAATTAAAATGGACTAATTCTTAGGATATTTATTTATTGAATCTTGTAAAAAATGTAAATGTTAAACATTAGCTATTAATATGAAGAAAACACATTTCATGAAAAAGCCCTGTAATTTTTCAACAAAGAAAAAATAATGAATACATGGTTTTAAATATTTGCAAATATCTTCAATACCTGACAAATCATTTATATTTTTTGGATCCCCAGAGGATCCTTGAAATCATTCCTTCTAAAACTGCGTGCATTGAGCAGTAAAGCACATGGTGACTGTACTCTTCATTTGCTCTGTGTGGTTCTTTATATAAACAACTTTTCTAATAGGTTCATACTTCTTGTATGAACGATCTCAGCTTCTCTTCCTGGCACCTGTAGTTTCAGTAGCATTAGACAGCAGCTCTGGGAAAAACATAATTTTAGGGAACCTTGCATAGTCTTAGGTGCTGTAAGACTTTTGAGGAAAACCTTGACACGTTCATTTAGTGACTGTTTGAAGTCACAATGGCACTGGAAAAAAAAGACTTGTGATGATTTTTCACTCTTATGTCCGTTGCAGGATCCTCATGGTGACAGGATCAAAATTGGGACGCTAGACAGATGGCATGTATTTAAGATGGTTGCAGTGTCCTGGGGTCATGTGACCCCCTTTTGTGACCTTCTAACATGCAAAGTCAAAGGGGAAGCCAGATTCACTTAACAGCCGTGTTACTAACTGAAGCACTGCAGTGATTCCCTTAACAGAGAAAGGTCATAACATTGGGCAAAACTCACTTAACCACTG